AGAATCTTCTATTCTGGTTCATTTGCATCAATATTCTGGCTCAATAAGTGAGGACCAATGCCTGGTCTGACATTTTCCAATGACCTTATTAGCAGAGATGAGGGTTTGCACTGTGACTTTGCCTGCCTAATGTTCAAACACCTGCTACACAAACCTTCGGAGCAGAGAGTAAAAGAAATAATTATTAATGCTGTTAGGCTAGAATAGGAGTTTCTTACTGAGGCCTTGCCTGTGAAATTTATCGGAATGAATTGCACTTTAATGAAGTGGTACATTGAATTTGTGGCAGACAGACCAATGCTGGAACTGGGTTTTAATAAGATGTTCAAAGTAGAAAATCCATTTGACTTCATGGAGAATAATTCACTGGAAGGGCAGACTAACTTCTGTGAGAAAAGAGTAGGCGAATATCAGAAGATGGGAGTGATGTCAAGTCCTACAGAGAATTATTTTACCTTGGATGCTGACTTCTAAATGAACTCTGAAGATGTGCCCTTATTTTTCTGATTTTTAAAAATTGTTTTTGCCTTATCATCCCATTCCTCACTCTACCCCCCCAAAAACTCATCAACTTTAAATGTATCAACTAGCCACACGATATGGATTGACCCTGAAATAGGAGAAACCTTTATTAATGGCATCTTAGAAACTGTAGCTACCTCAAAACCAATCCTGCTTATTAGCAATGCTGGTGGTGTCACCTAAAATGAGAGGATTCAAAGACAAAGCCTACTTGAATTTTTATGAAAATCCTTCTTAGTGTTTGGTGTTTGCAAGAGGGTAGTTGTAGAAAGGACTTTCCTATAGCTGTACCAGCAGTGATCTTGTCTTTATAGAGTATGGAGACCCTCGAGCTAGTTTGATCCAGCAGGATTAATTAATCAGTTGAAAGATGTCAAACTCATTGCTTTCAAGTTTACTTATTAGTTTGTATATAAAGCTGGCACTTTACATGCAAATACACATTGTACTGTCAAGGTTGAAAGACTCATTTAAAGCCTCACTTTGTTAGTTTCTGCATCAAATACATAACAAGGTATTCTATCTATTGCTTAATGGGAGTCAAAATTCACTAAGTGAGTAAAAGAAGTTGAACTTGTGTGGAGTAAGCATGTTATTTCTAAACTTTGTGTTCTTTAATGGATTAAAGTATTTTTAGAGCGATTTTATAACCAATCCCATGCATGCTTTGGTTTTAGCCAATTGATACTGCATGGAAGAAGCTAAGTTGTGATTTCTACTTTATAACCCAACTGTACATGTTGAGGTATACAGGTTCCTGGAAAAAGATCAAAGAAGACTAGTTTGTAAATCAATCTGGACCAAGACCTTTTCCCTATTAGGTGATATGGCCAGGACTAAAATCGACTCTTAGTGTTTATTCTGATTTCGCTGTGTGTAAGTAGGTACTATTGAGATTTACTCTGTTTTATTTACTATGTGCCTTTTGAAATTAGAAGCTTGTTTTTTTTTAGTTCTTTTAGGTTTTACCTGTAGTTCAAATTTGGAAACATACCCCAGCATTATCTTGAAGTTCATGATTGATAGATATGGCTCAGTGCTATCAAGTCAAGATGCAACGTGGAAAATAATAACATTGATCAGCATTTTTGCCAACTAATCTTGAGTTTTGGCTGTTAGACTACTTGCATGTTGTATTAATTCTCTTTAACATTTATTGTATAAATTGTCAATTTCAAAAAAAAAAAAAAATTACTGTAATATGGGATCCTTTTCTATCTTTTAAATTATTATGACCAAGGTTATTTGCTTTTCATTAATCCGGGAGAAGGGTTTTTCTAATGTCTGTTCTGGCATATGGTATCACAGTCCTAGATATAGCAGAGCTGGACTTTGTAAAGCCCAAGATTTGGTAGTATTTAAAATTTCTAGAAAACCTTGAGTCACTTGTATTTCCCCATCTGTTAGATGATGAGGTAGGAACAGATGATGGTTAAGAATCTTCGCCACTGGTGTTTTGCTTATTGTTCTTCATCAGATTGACCTGTGTAGACTTCTGCATGACGCTACATTGGTTCCTTTGTTTATAAATGTCATTTCTTAAAATCCTACCACCTAAAACCTTGTAAAATTTGAAACACCTTATATATTTCCAAATTAAATTATTCCATATATACCAAAAAGAAAAAGAAAGAGCGAAAGCTTTGTAAGATTTTAATTAAATTTAAATTAGTGTGATCAATTATTGCCTCACCCTGAATCCCAAGTCTCTAGTACAGTGGCTAGGTAGTTGTTCCTGTTCTCTGTGTTGTTAGATGCGACTGTTTCAGGACAGTAGACTCTGATATCATATGGAGTCTGCCTCAGGTCTACTGCAGTGTGTTGTCTGAGTTCTTAAATCACTAAGTGGAGGACGATGACTTTTTGTATCCTTTTGATTAAGTTGAATGCATACAGTGCTCAGTGTGGGGAATAAGAAAGGAACTGTGGAGAACACAGAGATGTGGCACTCATGTGGTACACTCAGCTTCAGGGGACAGAACAGTCTGCTGCTGTCAGTGCCCTGATGGTCTCCTTTCAACTGTCCAAAGAACACTCCCTTACTGGCGAGGTCCACATCCAATGTTTGGTTGAGTTAGAAACATAAGGGCCTTTCATTTGGGGTTGACCAGCCACTCCTCAGAAACCCTATACGCAGTCACTATAGGTCAGAACTGACTTGACAGCACTTAACAACAACAGTTTTGTTGGGCTTGCATCATAGTTTGATGTCTTCCTCTGCCCTGTCTTGTTTCCTTTCTCAACCTTCTACAAAGGTTGATCCTTGTCATATGCTTTGAACACACAACTCTGTTTCAGTATCGGCTTCTTGAGAACCCAACCAAGATTTAGAATTTAGCTCTCTATTCTACTTCCTTTTCTCTTTCCTGACACCAAGGCCACCAAAACATAAATTGTGGGGCTCAGTGCAAATGAAAATTAGAGCCCCTTCCAGTTAATTGGCTTAATACGGGTTGAATGTTTCCATTCTACCTCCTAGTTCATTGTGCAAGTAGTGCCTGGGTTCTTAAAAGCTTGCAAATGGCCTTCCAAGGACAACAGTTGGTCTTTATTTGCCTGAAACAGCAGAGGAAGAAGGCATAGAGGAGCAAATGGAGTGTGTGGCTAATTGTCATAGTGAACAATTGCCTCCTTTCATATGAAACCAGAAGAACTGGTAGATAATGCCCAGCTACCATGACTGTACATTTTGATCAAAAGGAGAAAAATTCAGAGCAGAATTTCAAATTCACATGGACTCCCAGACTTTCTGGAGCCATGAAATCTAGATGAAGCCCTGAGACTATTCCTCTGAAATAATTTTTAAACCTTAAAACCAAAAATATCCCTGAAGTCTTTTTAAAACCAAGCAATAATTTAACTTAATTGGTAAAGAAGGTTTGCCTTGAGCATTATGCTCTGTTAAGATCTTTCTAAATGGGGTCAGATCGACAGCAGCAACTTGAAAGATTTGATGGGAACCTTAGGGGGCAGTGAGTTTATGTAAACAGGGAGGAATGACTTGGAAAATGAGGGTGAGACTGGTGTACAACTCAAAGACTATTATCAATGCCACTGAATCGCACATGCAGAAATGGTTGAATTGGTGTGTGTTTTGCTGTGTATTTTCTCAGCAGCAATAAAAAAATAAAACAAGTTATAAGAGAATCTAGATCCCGTTGTTTAAAAAGTAGTTTAAAGTATCATTAAAGGTGCTAAGGTATAAAGCCCTTTCCTTCTTTTAATTGCTATGACTTAAATTTTTGACTTATTATGATTTGAAACATATTTTCTATTTCATATCATTCTAAATAAAAGAAAAGAAGCTCTGGTGGTGCTGTAGGGTAAGCACTGTACTGCCAACTGCAGGGTCAGCAGTTCAAACTCATCAGTCACTCCCTAGGAGAAAGATGAGACTTTCTGTTCCCATAAAGATTTACAGCTTTGGAAACCATATTGTTGTGGTGAAGTGCCATCCAGTTGGTTCAAATTCATAGCAACCCTTTATAGGGTTTCTGAAGAGCAGCTGGTGGGTTTGAACTGCTGACCTTGTGTTCCGCAGTCCAGTGCTGACCCTACAGTGCCACACCAGGAGTCCTTCGGAAACCTCACACAGGGTTGCTGTTTGTTAAAATCATCTCAATGGCAGTGAGTTTGGTTTTTTGGAAGTTAAAGGGGAAAAAATACTAAAATGTTAAATTATGAGCATTAGTTTGTTATTCATCTTTATGCCATGCTAGTTCTAAATGCAAATATATATATTTTTGTTGTTAAGTGTCATTGATATTTAATTCATATGTGTGATCATCAAAATTAAGCAAGACATAATTTATCATTTGTACATGTATATATACTTCATGCTTACCAGAACAGTGGAAATCCTGCACAAAACTAACTCACCTCTTGATACATGCACACACATTGGGCCCAAACTCTTCCTTCAGCTTGCTAAAAGTTAAAGAATCTATGGAGAGTCCCACGCTTTCCTTAAACGTTATCATTTTCAGCATAAATGGTCAACTCATACAGAGAAAGAGTCCTGGTGTGGTGCTGTGGGACAAAGCACTGGACCACAAGTTCGATGGTTTCAACTCACCAGCCGCTGCTTGGAAACCCTATACATGGTCACTGTGAGTCAGAACCGACTTGACGACATTTAAGAACAACAGCAGAGAAAGAGGTCTCTAGGTGGTGTAAACAGTGTGTGCACTAGAGAATAGGCACTGGACTGTGAACCACAAGTTAAGCAGTGCAAGCCCACCAGCTGCTCCACTTGGCTTCAGCAGCACCTCTAGTGGCTGAACATATTCTTTTACTCTCCAGAAAAGCTCAGGCATTCAGCTTTTAGGTTCCCACTTACCGTCGTTCAGTCATGTACCACTGAGAACCAATTAAAACCCATTGAGATCGGAGCAGCTGATTGAACTAAACCCGTAAGTTCTGGTTCAAATCCCTGTTTATTCACTTCCTGTATAAAATACCTGCATTGTGTTTTCCAGATGTATCTCAATTTTTTTTGTGGAGTTCCAGACATACTTTGCTCAGGATTATGCACAAACAGCATGGATCCATTCTATTGTGGACTGCATGACCATGCTCTGTGGTGAGTATCACTTTGCAGAGATGGAATATTACTGGCTATCCTTGAACTGTACATGATAATGACTTTCCACTATTCTGGTTTCTAGTTTTTTTAAATAGAAAGGCAACATTGGAATTCTCTAAAATTATATAAAAAGAAAAGATCCACCTTGCCTTCAGCCAAACCCAACCAGACTTGCTCATAGAATTAACGGTCTTGGCTGTTGTCAGATGGAATAGGCAGTTAAATGCTCTCCAGTGGTCCTTCCATTCAGAGAAATAATTGCTGAAGGAGCTCTGGTAGCGTAGTGGTTACGAATCGGGCTGTGAACCTTAAGGTCAGCGGTTCGAAACTACCAGCCGCTCCGCGGGAGAAAGATGAGGCTTTCTACTCCCGTAAAGATTTACATCCTCGGAAACCCTGTACAGGGTCGCTATGGGTCGGACCCGACTCAAAAGGCACTTAACAATAACAACAACAACATTCTGACTTGGGAAGTTAGCACAAAATATGCGGTTGGCTTCTCTTTTTCAAATGCTGTGGCTTCCTCAATATCCAGTAATATAAAACGAGCCATTTCTACAAGCAGGCTTCAAAAAGTTATGGGACCCCTTGGTTGGGTGAGGATGCATGTACAGGATGATAACTATGCCAATGAAATGATGGATGATGGAATGAATGTAAAGCTGATGTTCTCCCATGTAGACTATCACACAATTCACAATAAAACATTAAAAAAAAAAAGTTATGGGAAAATTCCATTATCTTTCAATTCCAGTTCTCCATAAACTTTTGGAAGCTTCCTCATATATGATCTCCTTAGATGAATGCTAACCATGTGTGTATCACTTAACGAATCTTTGTTTTCATTGTTACCTTTCCAGAGAATTCACAATTTTATGAGAGGTATATAAAATAATCTACAAATGCATAGAATCTTTTTTATTCCATGTATATAGCAGAGGAAGAGGATAAGTCTTAAAATTTTCCTTTTGAAAATTTCAAACCAAGGGTGTGAAATTAGTATCTTAGAGTTTCTAAGATTGTATCAAATTTAAATGATTCATTTTCAGCTGACACCCACTTACTCCTTTTCATCTAAATGAATATCAAGTATTTTAGCATACTATTATCTCTTCAGGCCATGTCTTGGTGGCAACAAGGAGATACTATATTAATTCAGTAACTCATAAATAACGTCATCAGATTCTATTCTATAAACAAATTCATATTTATTTTTAGAAAGAGATAACACATATTATAATTAGTTGAGTTGTGCTAAAATACATTTCCTTGGTTGGGAGAGAATTTGAAAGCAATTCTGGACCTAACAGCAGGTTTCATGAGAAGACTACGTAGACTCTTTCAACTGATAATACTATGAGGTTTTAATGGCTCAACAAATCCCATGTTTGTGTTTCCTAAGGTGTGTGTGTGTGTGTGTTTTAATGAGGAAAACAATCACTTGGATTTCAAAGTCCCATAATATGTCACAGGCATGCCGAGGGAGCCATGTTTGTCTTTCTTAGAGGATACCAGTGACACATTTCCCTCGCCATTATCTTTTGGAGAATGTTTATAATCCCCCAAAGAGGGAAAATGCCTGAAGTGACTTGTATGGTGATAATGTCTGTGTGAGGCACCGAGCTAAAGCAGAGTCATGTTCCAGCAGCAGCCTGCTTAAGTTCCATTCAAGAGCTCGAGGCCTATTGTACCTCATTACTATGTACCTATCTGCTCACCTTTTAACAGTGTTGTTGTTATGGTGATGTGCCGTGGAGTTGGTTCCGACTCATAGTGACCTTGTACTGGATTTCTGAGCCTGTAACTCTTTATGGAAGCAGAAAGCCTCATCTTTCTCCCATGGAGCAGCTGGTAGTTTTGAACTGCTGACTGTGAGGTTAGCAGCCCAATTTGTAACCACTATGCTACCAGAGCGTCTTCCTTGTAATGTTGTTGTTGTTGTAAAGTGCTGCTGAGTCGATTCCGACCCATAGCGACCCTGTAAGGGTTTCTGAGGAGCAGCTGATTAGATGAGGTCTAAGTATAGACCAGAGGCTATGCAGTTACATCTGGGACATTTACTAGGGACAAATCTGCCTTATTGGTGAACAGAGAAGTCAGCATTTCCCAATTTGGTGTCAATTTTGTCACTTTCAAATCAATATAGCCTCAGTAACCTAGAGACTCAGATATAGTCAAGAGATTTGTTCAGTCTTATTTTCTATGGGATAATTTCCCCTGTTAGTTATGCACTGTTTTAACTAGACAGGAAGCATCAGGCTGATAAGATTCTGTCACATACATTTGTCAGGTCCCAATTTTAACTGAATATTCAACACAAAACTCTAAAGATACTAAGAGTGTTGGCTCTTCTGATCTTGTTACTAGGAGTACTGGTACAACATGAATTATTCCTCAGAAAGAAATTCATATTCCTCCCCCATTCATCACCTCTCTCATCAGTCTGGGAGCTCCAGTGAGCAAGAGTAACAGGATAAAATACCCATGTCAGATGCCTTAAGCAATATATCTTCATGACCTTGGAAATATCATAGCCTCCTGAACTTAAAATCCTCTTTGGCCTCTTCCAGTTTTAACTGATATTCTATCAGCCTTGAGGCAACACACTTCTGATGCATTGGTAAGCCACAAGTAGAGTGAGACCAACAGAATGTCACCATGGTTGGGAAACAGTTGCTTGTTTTTTAAGGCATTTATTTCTCATCTACAGTGTGTCCTAAAGGCAGAAAGCAGTGCCAGATTGTGGCCCTCCTGGTCTTTTCTTACGTAATATTGCTGGTCTGACACTGCTGACCACCTCCCTTCTCCACTAACTGCCTGCCATCGTTATTGCTAAGGGTGTATGGTCAATACTAAATGAAGCATACGAGGCACATCCCAATGCAAGTGATGTTGTTGTTAGGTGCCATTGAGTCAGTTCCGACTCATAGAGATCCTATGTACAACAGAACAAATCACTGCCCAGACTTGCCCATTCTAATACTCGTTAAACTTGAGCCCATTGCTGCTACCATTGTGCCAATCTATCTTGGGGGGTCTTCCTCTTTTCTGCTGGCCCTCCACTTTACAAAGCATGATATCTTTCTCTAGGGATTGGTTCCTTCTGATAACATGTCTGAAGAATGAGACATGAAGTCTGGTCATCTGGCTTCTAAGAAGCATTCTGACTGTACTTCTTCCAACACAGATTTGTTCTTCTGGCAGTCTAACACCATATTTAATATTCTTCTCCAACACTATAATTGAAATGCATCAATTCTAATACAGTCCCCCCTCACTCACTGTCCAACTCATACATGCATCTGAGGTTACTGAAAATACCAAGGAGTACATTAATCCTCAAACTGACATCTTTGTTCTTCAACACTTTAAAGAGGTCTTTGGCAGCAGATTTGTCTAATGCAGTTTGTAGTTTGATTTCTTGACTGCTGCTTTCATGAGTGCTGATGGTGAATCCAAGCAAAATGAAGTCTTAGACAACTTCATTCTTTTCTCTGTTTATCATGATGTTATTTACTGGTCCAGTGGTGAGGATTTCTGGTTTCTTTACATTGTGGTACAGAAAGCTGTAGTTTTTGATCTTTATGATCAAGTATTTTATGACATGTTCAATTTCAGTAAGCAAATTTGAATTATGTGCATATTACAGGTTGTTAATGAGTCTTCCTCCAATTCTGATGCCACATTCTTCTTTATATCATCCAGCTTCTTGGATTATTCGTTCAGCAGTGGCAGAAGTTGCAGTGTGCCATCATGTCAGTTCTGACTCATTGAGACCCTGTGTAGTGTTTCCAAGACTGTAAATCTTTACAGGGCTAGAAACCTTCATCTTTCTCATGCAAAGTGGCTGGTAGATTCGAACTGCTGACCTTTCAGATAGCAGTCACACATGTAACCACTATGTTACCAAGGTTTCTTGCTCAGCATATAGTTTGAATAAAGGTGATGAAAGTATACAAACTTGGCACACACCTTTTCCAATTTTAAATCACTCAGTATCCCCTTGTTCTGTTTGAACAACCACCTCTTGGTCTATGTACAGGTTCCTCATGAGTACAAGTAAGCATTTCTAGAATACCCATTCTTCGCAAGGTTGTACATAGCTTATCATGATCTACAGTCGAGATCCTATGCATATGCAATAAAGCACAGGTAAACATGTGATATGGAACTTGAATTAAGCTTGGCCCACTTTTTAAACATCCCTAGTACTATGACTGATGTGGGATGGAAAAGTGGAATAAGTACTGAAATGTAAGCCAGGAGGCTTGGATTCGAATCCCAGCACTGCTCTTTGACTTATTCTCTGTGAAATCATGGATGAGTCACCTCCTCTTTCTTTGTGCCTCTGTTTCCAAATCTGTAGAATGAGCAGGGGGGCGTTCAGTATTTTAGAGGTTGTTTGTTCTCAGTTCTGTCAATGCAGCACCACAGCCTTTTCACAGTGCCCCCAAAAGCCTTTCTGTTGAACCTTTTTATTATTATTTTTGAAGCGCCACTTGGAAGTGTTGTCAGTAACCATTTATCCTGTCAAGTGGGAATCATGTTGGGTGGCTTGCTTGCATCTACTGGCCTCATCCTGGGCTCATTTGCCACCAGTCTGAAGCATCTCTACCTCACACTGGGAGTTCTTACAGGTAAGAGCACTTTGTACCACTTGCCTCAGCCCACCTCATTCAGACATTGCCCAGCACAGCAACAGAACACTCATTCATAAAATACTCATTTGATTGGATGCCTAACTTAGGTGACCTGGTTTGTGTCTGGAAGTGTGGTGGTTCTGTAGGATAAGCACTAGACTATGAACCACAAGGCTGGCAGTTCTAGCCCACCAAGAACTCCACGGGAGAAAGATGAGGCTTCTGCTCTCACGAAGATGTACAACCTTAAAAATCCTCTATAGGGTCACTGGGTGTTGGAGCCAACTTGACGGCACTTAACAACAACAAGAAGCTTGCATCTAGTTACTTAACAGATAAACAAATGTGCTGGAAATGAAATTGATTGCATGACCATAATGAAGACGTCCCAGCACTTCTGTTCAGTCCTGTAATGAAAGAAACTACTGGCTTCTCTTGGGTAGCAGTGTGTGACTGAGATTCTATATTCAGAAGAAATGAGCTATTAGTCAGGGCTACACATTTTTAGAAATGCTCATTCTCCCAATATCTTTGCTAAACATTCAAATACTACCTGCATCAACCTCCATTGTCTCTGCTGTATAGTGAATTATCATTGTCCAATAAGCGAAAGTTTTCAATTTTAAAAAGACAGTCCTTTATTGTGGCTATTTTTTATATTGTACAACTTTTCAATGTTCTGGAAATACTACTTTAGAAAATCATAATGAATCCCAAGGAAAGAGAAGCAACATACGTGTGTTCTATAAATCACACTTCAGGGCACTGCATAGGTTCAAGGTGGGGCTTGTTGGTAGGACTAGAGTAGCAGCTGGCCCATCTCTTAGAGGGGTTTTCAGGGAAGTACTAACATCTGTCCTGGTGTGGTGCTGTGGGCTAATATGTCAGACTGCAAAGTTGTTTGAACACACGGTCAGTGGTTCAAGCTCACCAGCTGCTCCTTGGAAACCCTATACAGGGTCACTCTGGGTTGGAATCAACTCGATGGCACTTAAGAACTAACATCTGTCTAGGCATTGTGCCACACATGTAACATAAATCAGGTCAATAATGAATGTAGCTTCATAGTGAAGCTATATGTCTAGCTCTGCCAGCTATATAATGCATCGACCCCTAGTAAGTCAAAGGACCCAGCTGCTAGGTGACCAATCCTCCCAGTTTGTCTGGGACTAGCCTCTTTTTAGCACTCAAAGTCCCATGTCCAGGAAACTTATTAGTCTAGCATGTTGGGATGGTTAGTCACCGTACACCAAAGATGGAAAACAGAAGCTGAAATGGATGTGTCTTTTCCTTTCCTGGCTTTCGTTTTCGTTGTTAAATGTTGAGTCGGTTCTGACTCACAGTGACCCTGTATAGGGTTTCTGAAGAGTGACTGATGGGTTTGAACTCCCACTCTTGTGGTTAGCAATCCAGTGCTTATTCTTCAGTGCTACTCCCTGGCACTCTTGTTGTTGTTAAGTACCATCGAGTTGGTTATGACTCATAGCGACCCTGTATAGGGTTTCCAAGGAGTGACTGGTGAGCTTGAACCACCGACCTTGTGGTTCAAACTGACCTTACTTTCCAGCCCATTAGCCTGCAGTGCCACACCAGGACTCCCTGGCATTCTAGATGTTATCAAATTAGCTTAAAGCCCTTCAGGTTTTCTTGACTTAGAAAAGAACGTGAAAATCTTTGAAAGGCTTTCTGGCCTGTTACCCTTTTCTGCTGATTTTGAGGATATATTCAGCCTGCTATTTTCATATATAAAATTGGTATGTTTTCCAACTGAGTGAAATTACTCTGGAACTTTCATGGAATCATATATGCTGTATCGACCACATTCTAGAATGGTCCAGATTATCAGGGTTTTGTTTTCACAGGTAGTGAAGAGTTGAGACAATTTCTAGATAATTTAAGATAGGAAAAAGAAAAAAAAAAGTTTCTTTGGTCAGCATTATCCCAATTTTTTAATGAATTCAAATTTCGTTTATAAGATACTTTAAAAAAGTCTTTGTTTCATTTTGTTTAAAACTTCATACTTCCTTAAGGTTTTTTGGTTTTTTTTTTCTTCCTGAGAAGAAAGTCACAATGCTATATTTTTCAAATTTTTTTTTTCAACACCAAATTAGATTTGGTGTTGAAAACAGATTGAAGAGACCAGATTCTCTTTAATCCAAGTCATTTTGTTCTGAGACTTTTGTTTCTCATTTGCTGTGCATGGCATACTCATGGGCTTCTCTTTATCTACAGGTCTTGGATTTGCACTTTGCTACTCCCCAGCTATTGCCATGGTTGGCAAGTATTTCAGCAGACGGAAAGCCCTTGCTTATGGGATCGCCATGTCAGGAAGTGGCATTGGCACCTTCATCCTGGCCCCTGTGGTTCAACTCCTTATTGAACAGTTTTCCTGGCGAGGAGCATTACTCATTCTTGGGGGCTTGGTTTTGAATCTCTGTGTTTGTGGAGCCTTGATGCGACCAATTTCTCTTAAAGAGGACCATATAACTCCAGAGCAGAATCATGTTTGCAGAACTCAGAAACAAGACCTTAAATGGGCATCTCCCTGTTCACCTTTGACCAAAGAATGGGTGCAGACCTGCCTTTGTTGCTCTCTGCAGCAGGAATACAGCTTTCTACTCATGTCAGACTTCGTTGTGTTAGCCATCTCGGTTCTGTTTATGGCTTATGGCTGCAGCCCTCTCTTTGTGTACTTGGTGCCATATGCTTTGAGTGTTGGAGTGAGTCACCAGCAAGCTGCTTTTCTGATGTCCATACTGGGCGTGATTGACATTATTGGCAACATCACCTTTGGATGGCTAACTGACAGAAGGTAACTCCCTTGAAACTACAACTTGTTCTCCATCAGGGGCCTGTAGTCCTGAGTTTCTCTTCATCTTTTACTCAATAGAACACCTAATTACTAGAATACCAAGGTCTGAATTTTGCTGTTTTTATTGAGCAGTGTGGTTGAGTCAGTTCCAATTTATAGCAACACTGTATAGGATTTCCCAGGAGCAGCTGGTAGATTTGAACCACCAACTTTTTGGTTATCAGTCCAGTGTATATTTTTCAGTGTCAGACCAACAAGCCTTAAATTTTAAAAAGAAAGACTAGGGATTGGCATGCTTTTTCTGTAAAGAGACAGATAGTGAATATTTTTGGCTTTGTGGACCATAGGATTTCTGTTGTGTCTACACAGTTCCGCCATTGTAGTATAAAAGGAGTCATAAACAATATATAATGAGAATGACTATGTTCTAAGACATTACTGATAGAACTTAAATTTGATTTTCATGTATCACAAAATATTTTTCTTTGGATATTTTCAACCATTTAAAAATATAGAAGCCATTCTTAGCTCATTAGCCATACAAAGACATGTGATGGGCTATAGTTTGCTGACCCCTTGTCCTAGATGGTTTAAAATGTTGGGTCTGCCTAAATTGGAGGTGGACAGTATATTTTGAACTTAGAGACCTTAGGATAATTTCAAATTCTAGTGACAGATTGACTCCAGTCCAAGGCAAGCCAGTCCCAGGTAAGACACCTGGTTGGATGCTGTGTGTTAGAACTGTTTGAACAACACAGAGCCTAGTTGTTCAGGGAGAGAAGCAGAAAACGTTTAGGCAGGAAGATCAGGTGCAGTAATATCACATGATCTGCAGCTATGTATTTTATTTTTGACAATGCAAATAGAAAATGCTGTCATGATATTTCTGTAGGTTTAGAAGTCAAATAGATAAGAAATCTACTGAGCAATTTCTTAAGCAAATGTTCTTCTACTTGGATAAAAGAGAACAAGATATTCATATTTTCCTATATGATGGACTCTTCACCCTTGAGTTATGACCTTAGAAAGCTATCTTCACTGTGACTTTGCACACTTTATGTCTTGGATAGTTTGTCAGTACTCAACTGTCACTCTCCAGTGTTATGGCTATAGCATTTAGGATTAACTCTCCATTTTTAATGTATAAAGAAGAAAGAGGCTCATGATGAGTATCAATCTTTACAATCAAATAACTCAGCAAGAAGCAGTCTGGTACAGGTATGATGGCGAGCTACAGTCTGAGACTTACAAGACTTACATTCTTGTGCTTGCTCTGTTCCTTATCAGCTTCGTGACATAAGGAGATTCACCTAATCCCTCAGAGCCTCAAGGGTATTCATCTATAAAATGGGCAACGGTATATTTGCTTGTTGATTTCATAGCATTTTGTGAGTCTCTGATGAGCCCATGTGTGGAAAGTATTTGTAAAGCATAAATGCTCTCCAAAAGTGAAATATTGGTGGTATCATTATATGTTGCTGTTGTTAGTGCCGCCGAGTTGTTTCCAACTCATAGCGGCCCTACATAGGGTTTCCAAAGTATAGTTCGTGACCTTGTGATTATCAGTACAGTGCTTAATCTACAGCACTACACCAAGACTCTATTATAATGATGAAATAACTGGCATCACAGATGGGTTTGGAGTTACAGAAATAAAATGTAATGAGGTGAAAGTAAGATCTCATCTGAGGCAGTTGAAGATAAGACTTGTGTTTTAGAACAGGATCTATGGAAAATTGCTTCATTGTCTTCATACTCCAGATTGCTTTTGGTAAAACCATGTGGTTAATTGAGCATCTATGATGTATCACACATCAGTGGATTATATAACTGAAAGTACCTAATATGGGAGACTTCTAGAAAATACTAGTCTTCTGATGCTCTCCATGAGTTCACAATTATCCTTAGAGAAACTTTCTGAAGATAAGTAATCATCTTGTTTTACAATTAAAGAAACTAAGACTAGATTTAGGTAGTTAGTAGGTGTTAGAACTGGATTCAGACTTCTATCCATCTAATTTTAGAGGTTTTCTTTGTATACCATATGTCTTGCATTTGCACATACCAAAGCAAAGATAGGAAGACAACTTGGGTAACACAATGGAGAAATCATCTCTGTAAATAGTGGTGATGTTGTATGGCCATGATTCTGAAGCTCTTTGTTGGAACCTGTGCCTGCCACATTCATTGTTTTTGTTTCATTCACAGGTGTCTGAAGAACTACCAGTATGTTTGCTACCTCTTTGCTGTGGGACTAGATGGACTCTGCTATCTCTGCCTTCCAATGCTTCAAAGTCTTCCCTTGCTCGTGCCTTTCTCTTGTACCTTTGGTTACTTTGATGGAGCCTATGTGACCTTGATCCCAGTAGTGACTGCAGAGATAGTGGGGACCACGTCTTTGTCATCAGCACTTGGTGTGGTGTACTTTCTCCATGCAGTGCCATATTTGGTGAGCCCCCCCATTGCAGGTCAGTATCCAGAAAGAACCACAATTACCTCTTATTTTTCTTATATTAATGTGTAAGGTTATTTAAACATGGGCAAAGAGAAGGGTTGGGGGAGAGTGTGAGAGCAAAATGGAATGTAAGAGCACCAAAAACATAATGTTCTTACTTACATCTTTATTGTTTAATCTTCTTCCAACTTCAGTCTACCTAGAAAGAATAAATCCCAAATTAGAGTCTTGATTTAGTTCCACATTAATGATGGGAACAATGAATTGGAGCAGCTGTTCAGACTTAAAAATAAGTAGGGCACATTCTGAGGGAAATCTGGCAGGAGTACAGGATCCCAACAGGAGACGGGATGGTGAGGCTGAGGAGATAAGTGTGGGTGTGAGTGGAGTGTTCTGAATGCCATACAAAGGAGCTGGCGCTCTTTAGTCTTCAGAGACTACAAAAAAGTTTTTGTGCACAGGGGTAATATGATAGAGAATATAATTTAGGAAATGTGATCTAGCAGTTGTTGTTAAGTTCTGTTGAGTTGGTTCTGACTCACAGCAAACCTGTACATGATTTCTGAGGCTGTAAGTCTTTGCGAGAGTAGCAAGCCTACTCTTTCCTCCATGGAGCAGCTGTAGGCTTGAACTGCTGACCTTGTGGTTTGAATTCTAGTGCTTATTGTACAGAGCCACCTTATAATTTAGGGAAGAGGCAGTTAGGATTCCATTTGAAGAGTTCAGGAGAGAACTGATAATGACTTAAACTTGGGTTACTGCCACAGAAATGGAAATGAACACTAGAGACACAGAGGGAGTTTTAGAAAAACTATATCAGCTGAATTTAGTATATGAAGGTGAAAGAAAAAATAGTCAAAACATGGAAATTAATGTCATGGTTGAAGGAAATAAAAAAATTGGAGAGTTAGTTTTTCAAGAAAAATAATTAATTGAATATTCTAGATATCTAAAATACACATATGAAAATACCCAACAGGGAAGTTAGATGGAAGCCATACATAGATATAAAGATGTATGAGTCATCAGATAAAGCCTCTACAGAGCATTTTGTAAATGGTAACATGCTATAGAAATTTAAGGCATGACTAAAAAAGTAATTCAACAAATAATATTGCATGCATTAAATATTAATTCAATAAATATTTATTGCATGTATAAGATAAGTAATTCAACAAATATTTATTACTTGTATACACCAGGCATTGTGCTTGGCACTGAGATATAGCAAACATAAGAACCTATTCCTGCTTACCTTGTGTATGTGGTCTAGACTAGTATCTATCAGAGGGAGATCCTGGGACCAACTACATCAAAATCTCCTGGAACACTTGTTAAAATGCAGATTACTTGACCCTCCCATCTATGACCTGAATCTTTGGAGGTGAGTTCCAGGAATCTACATTCTCAACCAGCTTGCTTAAGAGGCTCACCCACACTAAACCCATTACTGTTGAGTTGATTCCAACACATAGGGACTATAGGACAAAAAGAGTTTTCAATGCTTAATATTTATGGAAGCAGACTATTACATCTTTCTCTTGTGGAGCAGCTGAGGATGAATTTGAACTGTTGATGTTTTGGTTAGTAGTTGAGCACTTCAACATTGCACCAGGGCTCCTCATAAAGGTTGATAAAAATGGTTTAAGTAATTATCTGCCTAAATCATAACTAAGAGAGCAAACAAAGTCTCTGAAGACAAATGAAATACAAATTAGCTTGCTGTCCTAAATTTATGGACTGGAAGATTTGCCATTGTTAAAATATTAATACTACCTAAAGCAATTTACAGAATCAATGCAATTCCTATTAAAGTTGTAACAGCTTTTTTTCAGAAATAGAAAAGCCAATTCTCAAATTTATATGAAATTTCAAGAGGCCCTGTATAGTCAGATCTATTTTGAAAAAGAACAAAGTGGGATGTCTTAGTTATCTAGTGTTGCTACAACAGAAATGCCACAAATGGATGGCTTAAACAAACAATTACTCTCTCATGGATTTGGAGCCTAAAAGTGTGAATTCAGAGCACCAACTCTGAGGAAAGGCCCTTATGTCTTAACAAACAGAAATTTCTTCTCACACAGTTTAGGAGGCTAGAAGTCTGAATTCTAAATGCTTACTCTGGTGAACAGTTCTTGTCTCCTTTAAGCATCTGTAAGCCAGCATTTCTTGGAGACCTCCATGTGTCTTAGCATCAATCTTCCCCAGATCTAGGAGCTTCACAGTGTAGGCACTGGGGTCCAAAAGATGCACTCAACTCCTGGTTCATCTATTTGGGTGATAGTAGGTCCCTCTGAGCTCTGTTTGTTTGTTTAATCTCTTTCATATCTCAAAAGAGATTGATTCAAGATACAATCTAATCCTGTAGATTGCACCTGGTCTCATTAACATAGAAGTAAGGGATTTACAACACATAAAATACTTCGATCAGTGCTGATCACAGAACACTTCATGGCAGGGGAAGTGGAGGATTTCACCATATTAGATCTCATCATGGATGTAGTGAACACTACATCTTAAATGCTAAAGTTCAAGTATGGCACAGTAGAATGAAAACTGAGCTGCTTATTGCAAGGTTGGTGGTTCAAACCTACCAGCCACTCCTTAGAAACGCTATACAGGATCACCAAGAGTGGCACTTAACAGTAACAACAATTGCTAAACCACCATGAATTGTGGCCCAGATAAGTTGACACAAAGCTTTAACTGTCATATGGGAGGATTCACACTTTCTGATTTCAAAACGTACTGTAAACCTACACTAATCACAACAATGCAGTACTGATATAAGGCTACACAAATAGATCATTGGCATAGAATTGAATCTACAAATAAGCCTATGCCTCTCTGACCAATTGATTTTTTTTTTTTTACAAAATCATTCAAAGGAGTATGAATAGTTTTATTAAGAAATGGTGCTGGAATGACTTGAAAGAATGACTTGAACTCCTACTTCATACCATATGCAAAAATGAGCTCACATAGATCAAAAACCTATAGATATAAGAGCTAAAACCATAAAGTTCTTAGAAGAAAATCGTAGGGGTAAATCTTTGTAACATTGAACTTGGCATTAGTCTGAGACATGACATCAAAAGCATGAATAGCAAAAGGAAAAATAGATAAGCGGGGCTTCATCAAAAAAAAATTTCATTTATGAAAAGACATTGTAAGGAAAGTAAAAGACAACTGACATAATGGGAAGAATATTTGCAAATCATATGTGATAAGGGTTGAATGTCTAGAATATATAAACAACTCCTAGAAGTCAAAAAGACTGTATTAAAAAAAAAAAGGAGGGGAGCATAAAACATTTCTCCAAAGATATATGCTCAAGATCATTAGCAACTAATGAAATACAAATCAAAACCACAATGAGATATCACTCTACATTTTTTTTTTAAAAAGAATTTTACTGTAGATTGAGTGAATGTTTACAGTGCAGATCATCAGTTTTACATTCAACAAATCATATACCTTGTTTCATTACAATGATTATAATCCCCTCCATGTATTAACAGTATTTCTCTCTATTCACTTTAGGTATTTTTTAAAAAAACAAACAACAACAACAACAAAAAAAACCCCACACACCCACTCAGGCATATATAATATGTTACACCTCCAAAGGGCACATTCTACAAGTCTGTCTCCTGGCCACCAGCTCTTAGTCTCTCTCTTCCTATGAATCTAGAGTCCTCAGCAGCTCCCCGTTTCCATGACCCCATATCTGCCTCTGTCTCTGGTGTTGCTGCTTCTCTGGCTAAGGCCCTGCATTCTGCTTGTGCTCTTCTCCCTTGATGGTCCTAGGATCCTCTGTTTCTGGACTGTAAGATTAACTACTCCCCTGTTTTTGTTACTAAACTTCTACTTTTATAATTGTGACAGTCGCAATTAGTCATGATAACAATTATTCACTATGGATTCATATGAATCTTATCCCCATCTCTTTTTAACAGACCCAACTAAACTATTCAGTGGGGACTCTTTCTTCCCCCCAATACTCTTAAACTACCTCTTGAAACCTTGTGTCCAGTCACTTTGTGCCTTTATCGTCCCCTCATTTTAGGTAGCCAATGTCTAAGTTGCCCATCCCTGTCTACCCTGTATACAGAGGGGATAACATTGATACTTGATGTGAAGAATCCTTCCCTCTCTGTTGGTATTTAGAGTTACTACTTTCATGAGTATAGGTCTGGTTCATCAAATTGTAGCAAGTTACCCTTGTTTCTTTTATCAAAAATTTTTTGTTTTTTTTTTTTTAATAATAATCTTCCTCTAGTCAAGTTCTGATTATCAAGCCATTGAAGCTAGGTCAAATGGGTACTGTCTGCAAGTTTGGGTGTTCTTGTGCATCTCCCCTCACTTCATATCAGCTAAATGCTTCACTCTCAGCTCTAGCCCTCTGTGTCTATGTCCTTGTCCATGGGTTCAAGTGTCCCCAAGTCTCACCATACTTTGGACCAATCAGCCCTTCCTCTTTTCTCTCTCTCATCTCCAGGTCAACGGGAGTCAATGGATTGTGGTTGAACTCAGCCCATTTCTTCTTGAACTCAGCTGTCTTTTCCTCTCTTCCACTCATCAGTAGACCAATGTGGTCACCAACAAGCTTACAAGCCTGCTTATGTGTTCCCTTTGAGTTTCAGTCTTAGAAGGGAGCTTGTCCTGAAGGAACTTGATTGCTTGCCTTGATGGCTTCCTGGCGAACAGCTTGCTTATTCTTGTAGTAGACAGTCATGGTGACATTTTTGTTTTACTTTTTTTCCTGATGATCTTTTTTTGAAGATGTATCTTCTGTTGCTCTAGTTGTTTCAGGCTGGTCTGCTTGTCCTTTCTAGTGGGAATGTCCCACCTCAGAAGGTTCTGGATGGGACTCAGGATTCCACCTAAGGGCCTATACTCTGTAAAGGCATTGCAAGAGGCCTATGTCACTGGGTGGCTATTATTTCTTAAAAAGGAAAATAACAAATGTTAGTGAGAATGTGGAGAAATTGGATCCTTCATGCATTGTTAGTGGGAATGTAAAATGGTGCTGTTGTTGTGGAAAATAGTTTGGCAGTTGCTCAAAAATAAAACCTAAAATTACTATATGCCCCAACAGTTTCTCTCCTAGGTATATATACCCCAAAGAATTGTAAGTTGGGATTCAAGCAAATAACTTGTACACTATTGTTCATAACAGTAGTATTCACAGTAGTCAAAAGGTAGAAAAACTCCACGTGTCTACTAACAGATGAATGGATAAACACTATGTAGTATATATTTACAGTGGAGTATTATTCAGTCATAAAAAGAAATGAAATTCTGATACATGCTACAACATGGATGAACATTGAAAAAAAACATCATGCTAGGTGAAATAAGCCAGATACAAAGGGATAAATACTGTGTGATTTTACTTATAAGAAATATCTAAAATAGGTAAGTGCATAGAAACAGAATGTGGATTTGAGGTTTTCAGGGACTGAGGGAAGAGCAGTCATTACTTAATGGATAACAGAATTTCATTTTGGATGATGAAGAGTTTTTTTATATAGTGGTGATGTTTTTGTTACAAAACTTCTACTTTTACAATTGTGACAGTCACAGCTAGTCATAATAACGTTTATTCACTATGGAATCATATGAATGTAATTAATATAACATAAAATTTGCCACTTTATTTTTATTTATACTTTTTAAATGGCATTAATTACATTCAGAATGCACAACATTCTGATTGTAATTAATGCCATTTAAAAAGTATAAAGTATAAATAAAAATAGTTAAAGTGGCAAATTTTATATGTATTTTACCACAATAAAATAAAAACCATTACAGATCCAGAGATAGAGAGCATGAGGTGTGGTGGGCGGAGAGTGTGGGAAGGATGAACCAAACTTTTGCCTAGTAGGTGGGAACTTTTTTAAAGAAGGCAGGATTTCTGGTATTAGCTGCTGTTGTAAAGGCAGTTTTCTTGTTATTTCTAACCCTTGTTGTTGTTGTTGTTAGGTGCCATAGAATCGGTATCCACTTATAGCAACCCTATGCACAACAGAACAAAACAATGCCCGGTCCTGAGCCAACCTCACAATCATTGCTATATTTGAGCCCATCGCTCCTACCACTGTGCCAATCCATCTCGCTGGAGGTCTTCTTTTTCTCCGACCTTCCATTTTACCAAGTATGATATCCTTCTCAAGGGACTGGTCCCATCTGACAATATGTCCGAAGTTGTTCTTGTTGGTTCCAACCCATAGCGACCCTGAATTGGGTTTTCTAGGAGCAACTGGTCAGGTTGAACCACCAGACAACTTGAGATTCAAACCGACTTTGCAGTCCAGTGCATTAACCCACAGAGATGAAGCCTGGCCATCCTGACTTCCAGGAAGCATTCTGGCTGTACTTCTTCTAACCCAGATTGGTTTGCTCTTTTGGCAGTCCATGGTACTTTTAATACTCCAACACCGTATCTCAAATGCACCAATTCTAGGTCTTCCTTGTTCACTGTCCAACTTACATATGCATATGAGGCTATTGAAAATACCATGGCTTGGGGCAGGTGCACTTTAGTCTCTAACTGACATCTTTGCTTTTCAACACTTTTAAAGAGGTCTTGTGCAGATTTGCCTAATGTAATATGTCCTTTGATTTCTTGACTGCTGCTTTTATGAGTGTTGATGGTTGATCCAAGCAAAATGAAGTCTTTGACAACTTCAATCTTTTCTCCATTTATTGTGATGTTATGTATTGATGCAGTGGTGAGGATTTCTCTTTTCTTTACATTGAGATTCTAACCCTTAGCAATGCAATTGCTAAGGTAGCAAACTAGGGTAAACTGTTGCTGCTCATTGCTGCAGGTGAAAACTCCTCATCACTTTAAACTTCCTGATTTAGGACTATAGGGTTAGTACATTTTTGAAAACTGCTCCCAAGATGCTCCCACACTTTCTCTCCCGTCAATTTTAGTGTTCACAACCATCATGATCAGTGTAAAAGTCACAAGACTTAGGTCCTCCTTTCAGTCTATGGCCTTCATTTGGCAAATCAGATATTTTACTCATTGCCAGGAATTAGGGTGGAAGCTCCACGCATAATACTTCTATTTAATTACCTTTAAAATAACAATGCTCTATTCGGTCGCCTCTATTTGAGCTCTGGTAGCGTAGTGGTTACGAGGCAGGCTGCTAACCTCAAGGTCAGCAGTTCGAAACTACCCAGTGGTTCCGTGGTAGAAAGTTGAGGCTTTCTGCTCCTGTAAAGATTTACAGCCTTGGAAACCCTATACAGGGTTGCTGTGGGTCAGAACTGACTCGGCGGCACTTAACAACAACAACAACATTTGATGCTTTAGATGTGTACAAGTAAGTCACATGATAACTAAAATGTTTTCTAGTAATTTGAGTCACACAAAACTTTCTAGGGCTACTAACAATTTCTAGAGCTCATCGTGGTGTTTACTACATCTTTTTGGGTCTTTTTGACTAGTGGATGGTGGATTTTCTTGATATGTAAGTAAAGTTTGAAGAAAAAAAAATGATAATCATAAAATTATTACCTACCAAAGTCTTATTTTACCATACTGATTCTCTAATAATTGAGGCCCATATTTTTCAAATATGGGTTAGATATTAGGGTTAATTTGTTGCAATATGAGAAAAAGAAAAAGAAATCTATGGTTTCAGATGATGGCTTCTGAAGTTTGCATTGGAATTTTTGTGATGGCTCCAAAGCCAAATTTAGTCTGGATGGTGTATGATGACTGGATTCAATTGGATATGGTGATTTTGTTTGGAAGCATTCTATGTTAACCCAGTGACAATGCAGGGATGTTGGGAATACCGCTAACATTTTTAAGGATTATATTTCTCTATACAAGTCACCCAATTCAAGAATTTGAATGATGCTATTTTTATCTTTTCTACCCAGATTTCATGGGATTTAAAAATAACATTTATTGTGCAAGTACTTTTCATAATACTTAGTGTTTAAGCACTTTACATAAAGACAATATATTTACTTCACAAAGTTCCCACAAAATAGAATTTTTTTTTGGCTGCTATAAAATATTTTCTTGATCTTTTTGTGTCAAAATGATAATGGTGGTGCTAGTGATCTGTTGTTATAATCCTTATATATTATTAGGTTTGAAAATGGGTAAATGATTGCATATTCAACTCAGCAATATAATTTCACTTTTGTTTCATTCGTTAACAGGATGGCTGGTTGATACTACTGGCAGCTACACTGCAGCTTTTCTTCTCTGTGGATTTTCAATGATATTTAGTTCTCTGTTGCTTGGTTTTGCAAGACTTGTAAGGAAGATGAAAAAAACTGAGCTGCGAATCCTTGCCAAAGACTCTGATCCCAAGTTGCAGCTATGGACCAATGGCTCAGTGGCTTATTCTGTAGCAAGAGAATTAGATCAGAAGGATGGGGAATCTGTGGCCACAGCAGTGTCTGGTTATAACACATGACCAGTGGCCTTGAGCCTAGGAATCCTCAGGGCTGAGAGAGGTGGGGCCATTGAATTACAATGTACTGGTTTCTGAAGCATTTTACTTTGGCAGAAACATTGCCTTCCAAGGAGATTAGTATATTCTGATTAACATGATCATAGGGGGAAATAGTAAATAACAAAGAAAGCTGGACTGGCTCAGAGTTTTCTCTTCTGGAGATACGCTTTCATAATTGAACACATCACAACTTTTGGGCAATGAGCATTGTTCAATGGAGAATAATATAAGGGCATAGACGATATAACTGGCTATAATTAGGGATAATGCCAGTGTATGACCAAAGCAGGTACCTACCGGGCAGCAGTTTTGTTCTGAAGTCTTCAGCTCTCCATCTTCCCTCTTCCGTTAGTAAGCACATGGAAACATTGACATGTAGACTTGCTTACCGCATGTTCTTTGGAGGAGGCATTCCGTTTGAGTGTGGTCGTGGAGGATGAAGACACCAAAAGTTTTTCAAGGTGGAGTTTCTCATTAGGATCTTAAATAGGCTTGTTGAAGAATATTTTAGATACAGAATGAAACTATCTTCCCCCTTCCCCCTTTGCTCTGCTAATCAGTCCTTGGCTCTGCCAATGAATATCTACCACTTTGAGATTCCAAAGAATCAAGGAATACCACAGTTAGGATAGATCTTGAAGGGTAGCTAGTAAGATTTTCGCTCTGAAATTCTTCACTGTAAAATGAATGCTCCTTTCCTAAGACTGAGTTCCAGCTACTCATCTCTATCATTATTGCATATGATATTTACTCTAAATTTAGTGTAACACACTCCAGAAAGCCCATAGCCACTTTTCAATGTAACCTAGAATGTTAACACCACCAAAACTTCCCTTTTTTTTTCTTCAGAAAAATTCTATTAAGGACAGGAAAATGTTGGCAGTATTCCAATTGAGTAGGCATTAAATGCTTCTTGAATCAGTAGGTTTCTAATAAAACTTTTTTTTTTTCCCAATTAGACATTTAGATTCATCACTACCCATAACAGGCTTTGGAGGTTTTACCTGAAAAATGTTATCTTAGAAATACTGTAAAGGTGAGATTCCTTTGTCCTGTTAATTAATTAATTGCTGTTCTGATGTCCACTACTCTTCATCTCCCATGGACAATCATTAGAAACTTGGTAGTCCTTTTCAGCTGAATGAGAAGGCTTCATAACCTCAGCATCCTACCACTTACATGCTTTATAGCTTTGGCCAGGAGAGAGAGAGGAAAAATTAAGGCTAGTTATATAATGTTTCACAGTTTGCAGAACCCTTTCACATACTTTAACTCACTGGATTACAAAAATTTTACTTATTTCCAAGTATCCCAATTTCCTATGGTTTGGGATAATTTCTGAGTCTTCAGATTGAAGAGCAAGACATAGGAAGAGAAGAAAAGACCAGACTGAACCTCAAGGAAATATTTTGATCCTGAAGGCCACTGACATCAGAGAGCCTTCACAAGTGCCTGCCCAGAAAAGACAGCAATAAAGAAGATCCTAGGTTGACTGAGCATGCTCAGCAAGAATCCTTTCCTGAAACTGGATTATTTCATGTTAAAATTTGATAAAATACATGCCAATGCATTACTTTCATTATGCGTTGAAATATTCATTTTTTCTTGATGGGGAAAACTGATATTTAATTCATAGTTGTTTTCAAACAGAAATTTGAATGTTACTGGCTATCTTTTTACTTCACTTGAGAATTGAGCTTAAACTCATTTATTTTATCTTTTGCAAATGAAAACATATTTTGAAAATACCTGTAAAAATTCAAGGTTAAAGTGAAGTTATATATGTTTGGAATAGCACTTTACACTATGTGTCATTTCTTGAATCTTCAAGACTAAAGACTTTTTGAGATATAAATAACTTAAATATTCTTATCCATGTATTTTTCATAGCAGCTGTCACAGAAAAATTGTATGTTCTGTAATATAATTTCTCTAAAGTATTGTAAGTATTCATGAAAAGAAACATAGAGATCAGAGCTTTTAAAGATTTGTGTAAAGCCTTTATTGTTCATTGCATACATATGCAAGTGTGCTTTCTACTTTCCCTTTTGGAGCCACCATTTTAGAAAACAGTAGGTAAAATGGAGATACTAGAGTCTTCCATTTTGTCATCTACACAAAATTTGACTGCTAAGGTTCCAAGAGCCTATATTATTTGTTTTCAAAACAGGAAGGAATTCAGGGGAATGCTATATTTTGTGGAATCAAGAACAAAACTGTGGTGGGAGGATTCTCTCTCTCAAATACTTATTTATCCCACTGCAAGCTTTACTTGGGAATTGACTGAATAGAAAAGCAGAAAGAGCGAACACTGTATCCTTGGATCTTTTTTTTTTTCTCCAGCTTGTAATTTCACTAAGCTATCAAATATTTATGCTAATATTTTCTTATTTCAAAAGCATAATAAAGAATTTATAGTTATTTGTTTAGACTATAAACCCTGGACAGTGGGTTTGGACTGGATTGTGAGTGGACCTGTCTAGATCATATTTAGATAGTTTGCATATACAGGCATGGTAAGCAATCAAATAATTTACAAAAATCAAAGCCATTTATTGAGTACTTCCAATGTGCTTGCTACTGTGTTAAGTATTTTATATGCATTATCTCATTGCATCTTCATAATAACCTACACTGTAAACCATTTCACAGATTTGGAAACAGACACCAGGTCCCGTAACTGATGATTCAGTAGCCACTGCACTCTAGCGCCTCTTGTGTGAAATCCTCTAAAACTAGGACGCTATCTGATATTGCAGTCTGCAGTCTTCCCTTTGTGGATCATTTTCCAATGTAGGTTGAAGGAGTCATTTGAAAAAGGCCTTCCCTTGGGCACATAAATTCCTTTGGGTATTTCTTTAAGTACGTATAGAAGGTATATTCAAGATTGGACATTTCAAGAGTCTTGTTCTATGAAGACCACTACTGACAGGCTAAGGGCTTTAATTTGCTGTTGGATATAGAATTCTTTTGGGGAGCTTCTTATTTTGGTTGTGGACTACACAAAAGTGTGTTCTACCATTCACATTAACAAGAAACTTTCTCACTCAGATGTTGGATTCTTTCTGAAGTGCCTGCACTATTGCCAGCGATGTTGATGGTAATTTCTATTTGGCATTCATTTTCCTTATCCCAATAGGTCAAATTCAGAAACTGTTTATTGAAATAAAACAGTATGAATTCAAGGTAGAGTTTATCTCATTCTCACACTTCCAAATTTGAATTTCTGTCTCTCTTTTTTAAAGAATTTAACCAAACAATAGATTTGTATGTGTTGCTAGAGCAACTACCAATGAGAGATGATGGGCTTTTATTTTTTACCTCTAAAAAGTATTAGACAAAGGAAGTTTAAAAATATTAAAATAATGATAAAATCTGTTGAAACATAAAATCTGATTTAAAAAAAATTTTAGTTGTGATTTGGTTAAAAACATAACATTTTATTATGGAACTTTACAAACACACAAAAGTAGAAAAACAGTAAACTTGATGTGCCTATCTCCCATCATGAAAAACTAACTACCTACTACTGTCTCCCTTTGAAATATATTAAGATGTTGACAGCACATGTTAGGGACCACTGAACTTGACAAGAATAACGTGTGTGTTTGCTAGAAGGTGAGAGTGATTAGGACCACCTATCAATGAGCCACATCATTACTTACAAAGCTGACTGGGGCCCTTCCTTGTGTTTGACTTTCTTTGGGTGTCTGAATTCCATTCAAGCTTCGTCTTCACCCCTCACTACTCGAGTCCTCAAGTACATCTACCTGAAGCCTAGAGCAATGTCAACTAAGTGAAACATGGTTTTGAATTCTGGATGAGAGGCATCACCTTAGTCGTTTAAGGACCGCAGACTTCTTTTGAGGGGTCTGGGACTAGGACTGACCTAAAATTAAATAACTTTTTGATGAGTTAATGATTGGTCAACTTTAAATTTGAATTGACATTAAAATTAGTATTTTAAAATATGGTCCTTTAAAAGTTTTCCAGAATAATTGTTTCTTTTGTGATGGCAAACTGGATCTTTTACTATTGACAGAAGTAACGGAATAGTTAAGAGATCCCGGCCTTAGGAAAGGTAAAGGTCTATTTTCATCCCTGAAGAGACATCTTCTGACTGTAGTTTCTAAAGTTCAAAATGGGAAGGGGAAAGCCTCTTTCAAATCACAGAACTTGTAGATCTGGCATAAACATTCAGCACCCACAATGGAATACAGTTTGCACTGTCCTGCAAGATGTAACTGGTGCCTAACTTCCGAACCTCAAGATGGGCTATTCTCCTGCTTCCTCACTACACTTTAGCCACCTTGCTGTCTATCAGTTTCTTCTAAATAGAAAGTCCCCTCTTTCACTCGCCATCTTGGGGTCTTTGTGTCACCGATCCCTCTGTGCATCATCTTTTGCCTCACAGTTTACCTGTCAACTCTACAGGTTCCATCTTGAACCACTGATTGTTAGTATTAAGTGCTGTGGAGTTGATTCCGACTTATAGCTACCCTGACTAGGGTTTCCGAGGAGCGGCTGGTGGGTTTGAACTGCCAACCTTGTGGTTAAACTCATGTAAATTATATATCCTGATCCCAATGAACCATTCCTTTCCTCAAAACAACACATCTTAAATTTGATTATTTATTGTACATTTACTGTGAAATTTCATCTTTCTCACAAAACTGAAAGTTTCTTAAGGATAGGGATCAGACCTGTCTTATTCACCAATGAATTGTGGCTCTGACGCTTAGGAGACAAAAAATACTTGGTAAAAGAACAAATGAATGAAAAGAACAAATGAACAAATAAAAGAACGAATGAAGAAACCACTGAAATGAATTGTAACACAAGCAAATGATGGTGCTAATTGAAGAGTTGAGGGCAAGTTTGCTTAAAGCTGTTCTTGCACCCAGACTGGAAAGGATGCACTGTATGTTCCCAGTTCCTTGGGTCTAAGAACACCTTTGAGA